CAGGCGGGCGCTCCATAAACACTGGTTTCAGGGAATTAACTCGCTAAAGACTGCAACCGATCTTCTGAAGTAAGATTATATTTTAAAAGGTCTATAGACTGAAATTTCACTACAGGAAGTTAAGCTCACACTAAGAGAGAGAGAGAGAAAAAAGTTAAGGAATGCATTCAGAATTCCAATTTAATCCCCAAGTTAAAACTGCTCACTGCATTCCCAAATAGCACATACAAATATTACAAATAGATGTCTATCGGCAGGCTTTTCTGTTAGAAAATTATTGAATTTACTTTGATTCCCAAAGAGCAAAAGTAGCTTTTCTGACTTGTTTTTGTTAACAACATAGAAGTCTTTTGGTGAGAAAAGTTGTATTTACATTTATCTTTAAATTTTTGGAGGAGGCCAGATATACATGTGGTAGGTCCGCTCCCTTAGAAATCGAAACTGGTTTTCTCCGCAGTGACTGTAAGTTAGAAAGAAAGACATGAATTACTGATCTTGGACTGATATTCTCCTAGAAACGTGGTGGGTTCTTTAGGAAATTCAATTGCAGACATTCTGGCATTTGTATGAACACACGCAAAAGAAAATAAAATGCTCAAAACGCAATTAAAAATCTCCCACAAAAACACTGAAATGAGAGAAAAAGAATCATATGGATTTAATGATTTCTGGAACTGACCTGCCTGACATTTCTTTAAAGTGGAAAATTTATTCACCTTCTCACAATTAAAACATCGTCGCCTATCGATTGTTCAAAATTTGGGGGAGTTTTTTTTGACATCCTTAAAATAAAACCAAGCTAAAACAGATATGCAAACACCATCAACAAAAACAGCAACAAAATATTTTTTAAATTGTTGATGTGGCCAAAGCAGCAGCCTTTTTATTTCTCTCTCTCTCACAATTATATGTTTTGGAAGATGTAATTGAAAATAAAATTTCTAGGAGGGCAGTTAAAAAAAATAAATAAATAAAAATCACCAGGAGTAGTAGCATCTCGTTTTAGCTCAGCTGAGTTCTTTCCAGGTGGGTTTTCATATTTACACCCCTCCCCCAAATAATAATAGTCACTTCTCTGATCGTGCGCTACAATAACTTTCAACTTTTTTGTGGGTTCAGTTGATGGCTATTTGAGTCAACCACATATGTAGTGGCACATAAATAATCAATTATCGGCCTAGTGTTGTTGTTAAGTGCCAAGGAGTCCGTTCCGACTCAGGGACTCTATATAGGGTTTCTGAAGCTGTTAAATCTTTTTGGGAGCCGAAAGCGTCATCTGGCTCCCTCACAGCGGCTGACTGGCTTGAACCGCGGACCTTAAGGTTGTCAGTCCATGGAACCGCCCCGCTCCCTATATTTATATTAAATTAGCCATGTCTGTATAGAATAACTAGTACAAATGTTTTACAGTTTTTAAAGAAGCATCACATTTTTATTTAACGCATTTGTTTGCACGAAGCTTTCTCCAAAAGAGGCATACTAATTTTATTAACCATTTATGTAGCTATAAAGCACTTCTCACTCAGGAATTTGCCACGATTTTGTTATGATCATTAATCTGACGAGGGTTTGTGTAAGTGTCTAAAGTGACAAAACTATACACTCGATTAAAATACAATCAAACGCTTCCACGGATGCAATGATATTTACTTTAACTGACAGTAATTAGCTAAACTGTCTGGAACGAAAATCTATTATTAGTTGAGCACACCTCAAGGATTTCAGAGGATCCCCTTTCAGACAAGGGAATACAAATGCCCCGGAACGTGATCCTAACTGGATACGCGTTAGAACCAGATTCCACCCCTGTGTAAGTGATTCCCGGGACGGCCCGCCGCTGTAGTGTAAACGCCGCGCTGGCGTTTTCCTCCCCTACAACGGTGCGCAGCGGCGGCGCACAAGCCCACCGGCGTCGCGCAGCAGGCTGGTGGCCTGGGCAAGTTAGGCCACCTGGACCCGACTGATCAGGCGGGGATCCTTACAGGAAGAACTCGCCGCCAGAAGGAATCAGAATGGGGAAAGTGAGAAGATCCTAGCCTTAGCTCAAGGCAATAAGACAAAGTAGCGGTCGGAAGTCTCTCGGGCTGTGGATCAGCGCTACCCAGGGCTTGGGGTAGGGAGAGAGAAGTGGGGAAACCTAGCAGAACCCGAAGCTGGCCCCTTCGCCTTAGCTCCCCGCGCCCCCGGTCCTAGCAGGCCGCCAACTCGCTGGGCCTGAACGTGCGTGGATGGGAGGCAAGGATGGGATGAGTTCAGGGACGACTTGCTGCGGATCACCATGGCGGCTCCCGCAACCGAAAACGACTCAGGCCTGGCCCAAGGCTGAGTCGTGGTGGCGGCGAGATTTCCTTGGGGGAGTTAGAGGGGGAGACCGCGTGGACGACCCGTAAGAAAGAGACAGGCTTCGGTGAGCGAGTGGAGAGGGCGACCTAGTGGGCGTTGTCCGGCACCCCAGTTCTGAAACTGGGGTCCCTGGGCTGGGCCTAGGCAAGGCCTATGAACGAAGCGCAGGTGAGTAGTAAGAGACCGCAGAGAGGGAAAATGAAGACTAGGGTTGGAACTGGAGACAGTTCAGATTGCCTTTTTTTTTTTCTTCTTTACACAACTTTGTGTACATTCATTCATACAAAGAGGGGAATGAAGATTGGGGGCCTGAGGAAGCAGAGACATTTGTCCTCGACGGTTCTGCCCTCGGACAGAAGGCGAGGGGCTGGGCGGCGCTTCCTCTTTCACCCAAGCAAGTCGTCCAGTGCACATATATTCTGGGGTCCCCCCTCCCCAAAGTGTCGCGCACTCACCCCCACCTCTCTCCGGACCTTTGCGCCTCAGCGCTCTGGAGCCGCTGTCAAACTGGGACTTGCTTCTCATTGCAGCCCCAGGGCCTGGTTTGGAGCCGCCAGCCTCCGCCTGGGGTGTCAGTAGTCTCTGGATTTAAAGCAGAAAGGCACACGGCGCCGCTGCGGCTACGGGATGCTTGTACCAGAGCAAAGCCTGACCCCCAGAAGTTCTCTCTCCGCAGCCCGCGAACCACAGCCACCCCAAGTACTCCCCGGCATGTGGCCCCACGGCAGCCCAGTTCCCCCGGCAGCCCCCGGGCCAACTCTCCGCACCGTTTCCGCTCCCTCCACAACAGCCCCGCCCCTCCCCCCTCCCCACCGCCGCTTCATCCCTGCGGCCTCCAGCACCCTACTCCTCCCGCCACAGAGGGCACGGCAGGGAAGCCCCACACCCTCGACCCCACACCCACCCCACTTCCCAAGCTGCCCAGGGGCGTTGTCCAGAGTCCCTGCGGCTTCCATCGGCCCTTCTGCTGAAGCGGGTCTTCCCCAGCTCCACCATCCCAGTCAGCAAAAAAAAAAAGTTTGCAGCTGTATGAGGGGGTGCCACGGCCTCGAACCGGCTCCTGCTTGTTCAAATGCCAACACTGTACCCGGTCTTGCGGCAGGCCTTACTGCAGCGCCTTCGGGTTAGGTGTGGTGGGCAGGTGAAGGTCTTTAACTCAGGAAGAAGATGGTTCTCACTAGCGCGGGTTCCAGAATCTCTGGGGTACCCCATAGATTCGCCCAGAAAACAACCCAGGCCTCACGAGGGTGCCAGAAGTTGTACGGGTGGGCGATGTTGGAAAGACAGGCGATTTCATAGAAGAAAAGAAAATCCACCATGGCTTTATCCCGTCACTATGCAAGCAGATTCTGCTCTCAAGACTGTATGAAGTCACCCAAAGTGTGCAGGCCACTAGCCACGACACCACCAACGCAACCACCAACAAAATGCTGACCTGCATTGAAGAAACCCTGGCCTCACAGAGCTTAACCTAAGGGCAGCTAAGAGAAAAGTCGGTAGCTCACCAGTCACTCCTGGGAAGAAAGATGTGGTTTCTGTGAAGATCTGCAGCCTTGGAAACCCTATAGGTAGGGTCGCTAGGGGTTGGAATGACTCCATGACAACGGAGTTTTGGGTTTGACATGTACAGAGCACTTAACATGTGCAGGCCGACACTAAGCTCTTAACATGTTTTGCCTCATTTAACCCTGGCAACAACTCTGAAGGAGATATTATCGTCTCCATTTTGCAAACGAGAAAAATGAGATTTAGGAATGCCCAAGGTAGGTCACCGATTAGGTCAGAATTGGAACCAAAGACTGTAATAACGTTCTGTAATAACTCCATCGCTCTGCCTCTCACATACCTGCTTAGTGCGGTCGCTGCAGGGACATAAAATTTAATGCAACTGGGACCCTGCCGTCTGGGGTTCACAGGCTACAGGGGTGACCAAGCAGGCACCTACAGCCATAGTACTAGATGGGAAGTGATAAGAGACAAGAGATGGGAATGCCCTTTGCTAACTAACACACGCTGCAAGTTCAAGGGTGGAAGACAAGACTTCCCTCTAGGCGAGCATTTCAAAAATCAGGGCGCAGTTCCTCAAAGGAGGTAGGTGGTGTTTGAGCAGAGCCTTGAAGAACAGCTTTTGACTCATGGAGACAAGAGTGGGGAAGATGTTCCAGGTGGATGGAATGGCTTGAGCAAAGTCAACACAACAGGAACAGACATGTCGCCCATCCATAGATTGATACCCCTCTGTCTCCTTTGCGTACAGCGACTGGTATTTAAAGGCCAAGGCCAAGGGGTTTTCTGTCCCTACAGTAGCTGGAAAACCACCCTCCTGCAGCATCCTTCCGGGGGTTGGCTCGAAGACAGTAAGCCTCCCAGAACTGACCCAGGCCGGGAAGGTGTGACCAGGTGGAGGTGGAGCTGGAGTTGGTGCGCTGGGACCTGGTCCGTGCGGTCTAGTCCACAGTGGCTCAGACTTCTCTCTGTATAGTCCTCTATTTCTTCGAGCATCTTAACACCCACTGGATGGATGCGGGGGCGTGGCCCACAGGAGCTCCCAACCAATGGGATGGGAGACTGGAGACCGGGCCCCGCCCCACAACGTGACGCACGGCTCCCGGCCCGAGGCTTCGCAGCCCGGGCTCCAGTCCCTGCAGTGGCTGTAACAAAACCCAGACCCCCAGTTCCGGGCCAATGGAGGCAATTTAGACTAGAGCCGGACCGCGTCTGTCAAAAACCCGACGGGGCAGCAGTGGCGGAGTCCAGAAGCAGAGCTGGAGTCGTCGTGCTACTTCTCCGCCCCCACCGGGATTTATTGAGTATTTGGGCTGGACAATTAAGTGGCCCTGATGATGTTACCAAGCCCGGTCACCTCCACCCCTTTCTCAGTCAAAGACATTTTGAATCTGGAGCAGCAGCAGCGACACTTCCACAGCGCGCACTTGCAGGCGGACTTGGAGCACCACTTTCATTCGGCGCCCTGCATGTTGGCCGCCGCTGACGGGGCACAGTTTTCTGACGGAGGGGAGGAAGACGAAGAAGAAGAGGGAGAGAAACTGTCCTATTTGAACTCACTAGCTGCAGTCGATGGCCACGGGGAGTCAGGGCTCGGTCCCCAGAGTTATATCCACACGGTCCTACGCGACTCATGCAGCGGGCCCAAGGAACACGAAGAGGAGCCCGAGGTCGTGAGGGACCCGAGCCAAAGTGAGTAGAGGGGGACAGGAAACGCACCCGCACATCTGGAGCAATGGCGGAGGGCCGGTAAACAGAGCACAAACCTTGCCAACGCGGCTGCCCACCTCTTTAGCCTTTGGCTGGGGTCCTGCCTCCGCCCTGGTCAGCAACAGCTCTGCAACGCGCTACGAGGGAGCCGGGCGGAGGGAGTAGGACGAGGTGACCCCTCACCCCACTGGGAAGGAGAGGCGAGCCAGCTCCCGGGGAAGGGGAGGTGGTTATTGCTGCTCCGACTGTGGTGAGCGACTCGGGCTCAGCTGTTGCGGCCTGACAACTCTGTTTGGGATTTTTCCAAGCGCTAGAGGAGCAGAGCCCTGTCCACCCCAACCCCATTCTCCCCCTACCCCCCAGCAGCGCGAGCTCAGTCCGTGGAGGCCAAGGCAGGCGCCCCCGCTTCTCGGGAAAGACCGCCCAAACAGGTCCGGAGGGCGCAGGGTCTTTGCCAAGACCAGCTGGGTGGTTTCCTCACTTATTTGCTTGGAGGTCACCACCCTCAGCCCCACGACACTCCGCAGAGAGGGAGGGAATGCCCAGAATGGCGTGGGAACACAGTCCTTTCTGCGTGACCGTGGCACTCACGCTCCTGCGACTCCAAGCTTTTATTTATTTTTTTAATTTGTAACGTTTTGTTTTGTGTCCCAGTCTGCGAGCCGAGTAGCAAATGCGCTGCTCTTGGGCCAGATCTCGGCTGGCCGTTAACATGTGACAGGAGATGGTTTGGGGAAGAGGATCAGATAACTGAGTAAGCCCCAGGAATTGTTTTTGAGGGGATAGTTAAAGAATTGCTTTCCAACGGAGGTTTGGGGTGGCACAGGCTAAGGACTGTTCTGGCAGCATCTCTGGGCCGAAAATCAACATGCAACAGTCTAAGTCGGTTCATCAAGCAAACACCTTTTCTCCCGAATGTGAATGTAACGCAGACCTTTTCGCGCACGCATTTAAGTGTGAGCAGGTCATCTTTTAAAAGCAAAAACGATATTAGGCAGGGGCAACGCACAAGCGTTACATTCAGACATTTCCTACCAGCAAAATTTTCGCACAGCCCAAGCACACTAGCCGCCAACTACAACACGCCTCACACCTTCAGCTCTCCGTGGCAGAGTGGAAGCAAACGAGCTTACAAATACTGTAGTTACACACTTTCATACGGAAAATAGTCATTAGCTCGCCAAGCCGTGCATTTAAAACAGGGTAATCTCTTCTCTCACAGATGTTCAAGTTCTAATATACGCGCACTGCGCACTAATTGCGCCCCCACGGAGTGCGCCTTCTCCCACCAAGGGTGTTCAGAAGGGGTCCAGGCTGTCGCAGGGGGCCCACAGCACCAGAAACCACAAACTTCCCCTTAAGTCCAGACAGTTACTACCGCACGCTCCGCGCTGAAACCAAGAGGGGCCGAGGTGCTCCAAGGCCGGAGCCGCGGCGAGGCCAGGAACAGCTAAGGGACGCTGTTGTTTTGCTTCTTCTGCAGAAAGCTGTCAGCTGAAGAAACCCCTGGAGGCGGCCGGAGACGGCAAGGCGACGGAGGAGAGCGAGAGGCCGAAGCCGCGCAGCCGCCGGAAGCCCAGGGTCCTCTTCTCACAAGCTCAGGTCTTCGAGTTGGAGCGCAGGTTCAAGCAGCAGCGGTACCTGTCGGCGCCTGAGCGCGAGCATCTAGCCAGCAGCCTGAAGCTCACGTCCACACAGGTGAAGATCTGGTTCCAGAATCGCAGGTACAAGTGCAAGAGACAGCGGCAGGACAAGTCCCTGGAGCTGGGAGCACACGCGCCCCCGCCGCCACCGCGCCGCGTGGCGGTGCCGGTGCTAGTGCGGGATGGCAAGCCGTGTGTCACGCCCAGCGCTCAGGCCTACGGCGCGCCCTATAGCGTGGGCGCAGGCGCCTACTCCTACAACAGCTTCCCCGCCTACGGATACGGGAATTCCGCCGCTGCTGCCGCCGCTGCCGCTGCCGCCGCCGCCGCCGCCGCCGCGGCCTACAGCGGCAGCTACGGCTGTGCCTACCCGGCAGGCGGCGGTGGAGGAAGCGGCGGTGGCGGTGGGGGTTCCTCGTCGGCGGCCGCGGCCATGCAACCCTCTTGCAGCGCGGCGGGAGGCGGCCCCTTTGTGAACGTGAGCAACCTGGGCGGCTTTGGCGGAGGAGGCGGAGCGCAGCCGCTGCACCAAGGCGCCCCGGCGGGAGCTGCGTGTGCGCAGGGCACCTTGCAGGGCATCCGGGCCTGGTAGGAACCGGCAGGTCACGCGGCAGGCACCCCCCATCGCAACCTGGTGCCAAGGAACTAAAGCTCGAGAAAGACCAGGCCCGCTGAGGGCCAGGCCCCTCGTTAAAAAGAAAATGAAATACATTTGTCTCGATCCTCGGTGCTCCGGAGCGCAGCTTACCCAAGGCCTGGGGAAGGGGACTCGGGAGCGACAAGGATGTCTCGGTTAGGCCGGCGGAATTGTCTCAGAGAGGAGAACGGTGGCCCGGACCACAGGGAGAGTGGGAGGCCAAGGCTATCTGGTTCTTCCAGAACGAGAAGGTTTTCTCTTCCTCGGCCTTCCCGCCGTTTCTGCAAAGCGTTGGCGGGGAAACCGTGGGCATAAAAAAGCATGAAGGAAAGAAAAGTGGATGTCGTGGCTTGAGAACTCCCCAAGTCCGAACGATCCTCTGCGCCCTTTGCAAGCTGGAGCATCCTACTACATCGACGATAGGCTCCCACGGTCTCCAATCCTCAGCAGATACCTCGGCCCTGGCCCCTGGCTGTTGGGGGCGCGTGGGACTCGGGGACCAGATCGGAAGAGGAAGACCAGAGGAGAGAGATCGGTAATTACGGCCTAAATAAATCCAGGACCTGGTGGCCCGCCGAAGGTGTTACAGGGTTTCCTTTCTGTTTCGTATTCTGTATTCAGCACATATTATATATATATATATATAAATAAAACTATATCCACACGCCGTGTACACGCACACCCGCTGCCATACACTACAGGAGTCAATAAAAAGGTGCAATATTTTCAAAACCTTGGCTGGCTACAGAGACTTTATTTAGCCCCTCTCCCCTCCCAAAAAAGGTGGGTGGGGTGGAGTAGGGGTAGCAGAGCTAGAAGGAGAGGGAAAGATGCATAAGGAAAGCTGTCCTCCCTGGGGTCTCCAGTTCTCAGACTGTAAGTCCGATCTTTCCCTACCGCCTTGTTTATATTGATTTCGCTTTACTTCTTAGGGGAGGACAGGTCGGAGACTCTGGAGGGCCTTCGGAGGTCGCGGGCTTTGTAATCCTTCCTATTTTCTCCCCAGATGCTTGGGCTGGTGTCGGGGCCTGCGTTAGGTTAAGATCAAGACTCTGCCCACCTCAAGAGACGCTAGCGCCGCGGAAACCTGGCGGGCGGCAAGGAGGTGGCTTTGCCGTCGCCGGAGTTCCTCGCGCGCCCGGGGGCCCTGCGCCCGCCGCGGCCGCGCTTTCCCCCTCGGCCGCCCTCCCTTCTCCCCCAGCGACCGCGGCTTTATGCGGCTCCTTGTCACTTGCGGAGAATGCCTGTGCGAGGCCTGTGCTGCCACACGGCCGATTGTGAGCGTGCCAAGGCGGGTGAATGGGGAGGCCTCAGAGCGCCGCGCCATTGTGGGGCTGGGCCTCGCTGAAAGGCGGCTCCGGGCCGGGAAGGTGCGGAAAGAATGGCTTTTTATTGGAGTCCCGAACAAAAGGTGTGGTAGGAAGGCGAGGTCCCCTGCGCGAACAAAAACCCCAGAGCGTCGGGATTGACGTCCCCCCCCAGAGCTCCCCATTGCTTCTCAGAGCGGGGGCTTTGTGCTACAGTCTGCTCAACAGAGGGACGGAGAAATGCGCGAGGGTTTTGTTCCCTACTTTTTGTGCGCTGGGGGAGGGGGCGGCTCTGGAGACGGGGGCTGGGCGTGCAGCAGGGAAGGGGGCGCTGATTAGGCCGGGCCGGCCGGGGCGCGGAGACGTTCAGCGGGAGTCGGCAGCCTGAATGCAGGGTCATTATTGCTACAAGTTTAGCAATTTCGCCCTTACAGGAGGGGGCGGGGGCTGCGGAGATGGAGAGACCAAGAGGAGGAAGAAAAGAGGAGGGCTGGAGAGGGAGGGAGGCAGGCGAGGGAGCCCTCCAAGCCCGCTGACCGCCCAGGATGCGCCTTGGACACCAGTAAAAGAGACTAGTAGAAGCTGAAGAGGCGGCGCCTGAGGGGCGAAGACCTTCCCTCAGCTCATCGCTCCCTTGGCTGGAAGACCCAGAGTTGAACGTGGAGTACACCAGTCTTCAGGCCATCTCCACTAGCTGCGTCGTCTCTCCTGCTGGCCTAGAGCTGGTACACCGCGGCCACCACAGTTGCGCCCCAAGCCCCATTTCTAGCAGGCTGGAACCACCATCTTGCCGCGGATGCCTTAAACTAAGGGCTAGGAGGGCATTCCTACTTCCCCGAACTTTCCCCACTAACTTGTAGCCAGACCATTCAACCATTCACTTATCTAACACTATTTCCTGAGCGGCTGCTATGTATTTGCTTTCACTATTCTGGATTCTGGGGACCTTGGGAGAGTGGACTGTCTACAGGTTCATGGAGCTTATTTTCAGATGTTTGTCAGTGTGTGTTTGGGAGACAGACAACCAACAAAGAAATGTTTAAATGTTAGATGGAATTAAACAAAGAGAACGAATGCTGGGGTGGAGAATCACTTTGGAGAGGGTGGTCAGGGAAGGTCATGCTGAGATTCCTTGGAAGCCAGCTCTTGAATGGCAGAAAGGAAACAACACTTAGCTGTTTCAAGCCTCCATGCTTTTGCACATGTCATCCAACTCTCTGGAATGCCCTACCACCCTCAATTTTCTGCTGAACTTTTAGCCCTCCTTCAAGGTCCAGCTTGTTTCCTGAGCCACCCAAGTGGAGAGACTCACTCACTCCCTTATTGGTGCCACAGAGTCTTAGGTACTTTCCAGCATCACAATATGGTGTCTGAAAAGATTTCTTTTCTTTTCCTCTACATTCAAGTTCACCAGCCACTCCTTGGAAACCCTATATAGAGTTGCTCTGAGTCTGGGCATATAACAACAACAGCAATATGAAACATGAAGTTGTGGAGGAAAAATTCAGCATCTTTTTTCTCTGAGACAGATACTACAGTAGTACCTTATGGGCTGAAGGAGGAGGAAAATATTGTCCAGGCTCCTCAGGGCACCCTCCCCTGCACTCTAGGGCCACTGGGAGAGTGCCCATGGTGTGGAGCTTCAGCCTAGAGAGTTGGTCTTCAGGGAGACTCCAGATGAGTACTGAGCTGGGTCACACCAGGACACCTGGAATCACCTGCAGGAGGCACACACAACCAGATGAGGACCTCAAACGAAGGATTCCTTTTCTATCCTCCATGTCACAGCCTAAAGACAAGACTTCCTCCATCTGGAGAGGTCTCCTCACCTTACAACTCAAATCCTAGGCTGAGAACTTGATGATGGCCTTGGCATCAGGACGCAGTTTGGAGATTGGGAGAAATAGGAGAGAGCATCGTGTGTGGGTGGTATGGGAATGGAAAACGGAGATAAATCCAGGATCTGCATCTAGGACCCACTTGACTCTCCCTACATTCACTTGTTAAGTTGTTGTTACTATGTGCCATTGAGTGGTTCCAACTCACAGAGACCCTGTAACAGGGTTTCAGAGGAGCGATTGGTAACGTTTGAATGGCGACCTTGCAGTTCAAACTGACTTTGCAGTCCAATGCTTATCCTACAGCGCCACACCAGGACTCCTCTACATTCACTAGATGCTGACAATGGTAGGACAACAAGATCAGGTCCGGAGAGCTGGGAGCATTCACTCCCAAGCGGGATTTCATTACCAACGCTGGGAACGGGTGTTTGAAAGCAGCCACGAGTGCGTCCTTGGGGTTTTACTCCAACCCAGTCGGTATTCTGCTGGCCTTCCAGTGGCCTTCCCGTGTTCCCAGTGCCAGGTCCCCACCTCTTTTGGCCTGTTTCTTCCTCGGCCGCCTCAGGTTAGTCTTCCCTCACTCTGCGGACCTCACCCGCCCTCATAGAGGAAACAGAGCTGGTTTTGCTGTATTGACTTCCGCGTGGTTTGCGTGTCTTGAGATACTTAAAGCCAGCCTAGACAGCCCCCTCCTTGCTCCTTATCCTTCCCGGAGTCTCGAGTATAAATAGCACCCATCACTGCTGAAGGATTTCCGTGCCTCTCATTGCTGAAGTCTACTCCCCACCCCCATCGGAGGGTGAACACCCTGGACTAAATGGGCACTTTTTCCGAGCTCTCTTCCCAGGAGAAAAGACCACCCCCTGCCCCTCTGGTCCAAACTGCTGCTGCTTTGGATTATCCTGTGAGTCCAAAGAAATCATAAAAATCAGACAAGCACACTAATAAATGACCCTAGAGGCTGGGCCTCTGGAGACAAACAGCTGTCACCATCAACGTAGAAGCCTTGAGTTAGGAGAGCGCTGAACCTGTTTTCCGCCTCTTCAGAATGGATGTGCGTATAGCGCCTCTCTCATAAGTATTTTTTAAATATACAGTAAGAGGCACAGACATTAAGTGTACAACTGTGAATTTTCTTCACAAATGTAAACACACAGTGTACCAAAACCACCACGGTCTTGGGAATTAAATGAGATAATGAGGAAAACCAGCTTAGCATGTCACTGTAAAGACCACACTGTAAATACTGAGAACCCAGGACTTTAATCTCTGCCCTTGTGGCACTTCAGGTCCACAGGGGGAGCCAGACAGACCAGAGGATTTAAACCCCACCACTTGTGGCGCTGTAGGATAAGCACTCGATTACAAGGTCGGTTTGAATTCCAAGGTCGACGGTTCAAACTCATGAGCCGCTCCTCATAAAATGAGTCAGAGTCAGGGTCACGTCCCCATCAAGACCTGGCTGGAGTCTTTGCCAGTGAGCTCCGGCAGGGGGTGCTCGGCAGGACTGGAAGACTTCAGAGATCTTCACAGAGGTTTCCCCTTGGCTGGGGCTTGGGAGTTCTGTTGAAGGGGCAGATGAAGGACGTTCTTGACCAAGCCACCGGCCCTTGTAGCCCAACACAACCGGTAGGGTGGGACCCGCAGGCGAAACCCAACCAGCCCCTGTCTGCAGAGCTCTCCGCTCAGAAGTCCCGCGCTCCGCGTCTCCCCCGCCGTATCTGGGGCCGAAGTGGGCCCGGAGGTGGGAGGGTGGCAAATCCACGGCGAACTGTACATGCCTGATGCAGGTGGTTCAAGGGCTCAG